ATGAATGAGTTAGCGACTGAATGAATCAATAAAATAATAATTGATGACTTGGTTTGGTGGGGTTTATCACCTCACTTAACTTTTTCCAAGCAAGATTACATGTTTTAGTTTGCTCCCCAGTGGAGGGTAGACCTTATCAGGGCTCTTCTGACATAGTCGCTTCAAACTACTGCACAATGTTGTTTTCAGCCGAGGATACTGTACCTTTCCCATTTATTTTCAGCTTGCATGATCAGCTGTAACAATCCGTATTTCCCCACCCCCCCTTCTCCTCAGCTGATGGGAGCGTTCTAGTTTCTGCCTTTCACACATTTTTTATGATTTCTTGCTCTTTATTCATTGGCCTTCGTCCCTCTTCACTGGCCAGCCGCTCCCTCCCCATCCGAGCCAGCTAGCAACGGTCATCTCAGCGAGGGCTTCCCACTGATCATTCTTGCCCTCCAAACTGTACCGTCCTTAGAACCGGGCCCCTGTTCGAAGGATCTCTCACCCAGGACTGGGAGGAATTTGCCATCCTGCGGGGTGGTTGCTATTTTCCCCCAAACTTCCTCGAACCTGCTCAGAGGTATCCTTCCTTCCTTCCTTCCTTGGAGCTTCCCTTCCTCCCCTTCCTTGGACCTTCCCTTCCTCCCCCGCTCGCCCGCCCGCCCGCCCGCCTCCACTGCCTCCCCAGGCTCGAAAGGAATTACAGGAGGAAAAAATAGCTTTCGGAAACTCGATGCCGCCTTTGCGCAATACAATCACTGTGTTTTTTTTTAAATAAAAGGGTAGGGTGTCTAGACGCCCACGTGATAAGGGAGAGGCGGAGAGGGGGGGGTTTGCCTGCCTGGGCAGGGCAGCGACGCTGCGCCGGCTGGAAGCCACGGAGGCCGGCCGGCAGGCGAGGCGAGGGAACGGGAAGGAGGGGAAAGACAGCCAGCGGAGGCAGGGAGGGAGAGAGGGAGGAGCGGAGACGGAGGTTGAGTCGGGCTGGCCCGTGGGCCGGAGGAGAGGGAAGGCGCCCGGGCCAGAGCAGCAGCANCCCCCCCCCCCATTAAGCCCCGCGGCATCCCAGCGCCAGCCGATCGGAGAAGGGGAGCGCAGGCGAGGGCGCACGTAGGCACTCCCGGCTGCCCGGCGCGATCGCCTTCCTTCCTTCGCCTCTCCTTCTGCGCCTTCCGTCCCCTTGGAAAGGGGGTTTTTAAAAGAAGGGGGCCAACAGGAGACGTTTA